TCCCTACACATTACCTTTTTTGCCTTTGAAATTTTAATAGTTGGAGGAGTCACCCACCTGCCTTCCAGTCAGACCATCAATTACTTTTCAGTGTGTTGTTGAATTTTAAACTTGGCTTTTACATGAATTGCCCATCGCTTTTGTTTGTGCTTCAGAAAATACTAAATTTTCTCTTTTTTTTCATCTCTTTCAGGCTGACATTCTTCATCTGTTCGGTTGGTTTCACATCCCCAATGCTATTTGATGAGAGAAAGTATCCCTACCACCTCATGCTCCAGAAATTTCTCTGCTCTGGAGGCCACAATGCTCTGTTTGAGTAAGGATTAAGTTTCACAGAGAACCATTTCTTCAAGTTGGATCTTTTTTTATATGCCTTACCAGTCCATAACTTTCTAAGTCACCTACTTTGTGACAGAGGCATACACAAAGATAGCCATTGGTGGTATTTCATGTTTGGAGAATTAGCCATATTTGTCTCCATTCCTCTGGGAGGGTGAGATGTAGCCTATCCTAAATGTGTGTGTAAAGGTCTCAGCTTTTCCTTGTTTGGCTTCCAGTTTCTGTTATGCATTTTTCTAACACACTTGCTTTTTTTTCTATTATTCCTCTAATATAGTTTTCCTGCTTTTCTTGGTGAGAAGATTCCGAGTTTCACTGGTTTGGGGAGTTTTGTTTTTGTTTTTAAGAAAACTTTTTAAAGTCAAGCTAATTTATATCTTACATGTCAGAATAGCTCCAGGGGGAGGGACATGTGCCAGTATAGAGATTTGGGAACTTTTTAAAAGTGCGGCATACCCATTTAAAATATTAATACTCTATCTCTGTACTTTTTCTTACTTGAATTTAGAACTTTCAACTGGGCTTTGTCCATGGGAGGCAAAGTTCCTGTTTCTGAGGGATTGGAACATTCAGATTTGCCTGATGGCACAGGAGAATTCCTAGATGCCTGGCTTATGTTGGTAGAGAAGATGGTGAATCCTACCACGGTGCTTGAATCTCCACATTCACTGCCTGCCAAATTGCCTGGAGGTGTCCAGAACTTTCCACAATTCAGTGCCCTCCGCTTCCTTGTGGTAACTCAGAAAGTGAGTACTCAGTGTTCTAAAACCAATAGGAATTTCTCATGGTAACCAGGTAGTTCCTACTCGATTCTTTAATTGGCTCCTACTCTGAGATAGAGTTGCCATACAGGAGGGATAGATATCATTTGAGAATTTTCCATGATAAAAACATTTTAATTACAAACTTCAAATGGGTACTTTCAGGTTGGTTGAATTGAATGCCCCTTCTCTATGCTTCCTTAGACTGCCTCTGTGCTAGCCTAGGATTTTGTTGTTTGCACTGACAGTGGAAGGACCATCCATGGGTCTTTAACTTATTTCTCCTGGGGCTTTTCAACTGAGGCAAAATGATCTTACATACACTCTTCAAATGACTTATAGGCAGCCTTTACTTGCATCAAGAACTTGTGGAACCGGAAACCTCTAAAGGTGTATGGCGGGCGAATGGCTGAGTCCATGCTGGCTATTCTGTGCCACATCCTCCGAGGAGAACCTGTGATTCGAGAGAGACTGAGCAAAGAGAAGGAGGGATCTCGAGGAGAGGAGGATGCAGGGCACGAGGAAGGTGGCTCCCGTAGGGAACCCCAGGTGAATCAGCAACAGCTACAACAGGTAGGGTGCTAGCTTCTTATTCCAGGGCCCAAACTTTGTACCTATTGGAATGCCATGCTTATAGGGGGAGGGGTCTTATTTTAGTGTCTTGCTATGTTGGCAATAATCCTGCATCAGTCTCCTTTTATAGCTGGGAGTAGAGTTATGCACTATTGTGGCTGAGCCATTTTTTTTTAGTGGATTTTAGTTGATGTTTAATAGTTGTATATATTTATGGTGTACAATGTGATCATTCAGTACATGCATACAATATGTAATAATCAAATCCAGGCAAGAACATATCCGTCATGTCTAAGTTTTTGATTTTTTTTTTTTTTTGGTGGGGTTTTTCACGTTTTTTTTTTCTTTTTGCTATAGGGTGCTGGTGTTTGCCAGAAAGACATGGAGAGACAGAGACAGAAAGTGAAAAATCACCCCCCAGGGGGGGATAGCCATGCTGCAATCGCTTCTTCTCCATTCTGCTCTCAGGATCTTGGGCACCCAGGCTTATGCACCCAGCGTGAGTTTAAGCCACCGGGTCCGGGACTCGAACTGTGGTCGACTACATGGGAGTTCAGTGACATAGCCATTACACTAACTACTGGTCCCCATCATCTCTAACTTTTATCATTTATTTGTGTTGTGATCATTGGGGATCTTTTCTTCTATTTTCAATTATGTGTTCAATTTATTTACTGTATTTACTGTCCTTTAGTACCCTACAACTCATTTCTCTTATTGCATGTTCTGATTCATATGCGGAAGCTAAAAGGTTTGATTGTAAAGAAGTAGAGGGTGGAATGGGGGATACCACAAAAAGGGGTTGGCTTGTGGATTTTCTAGGTTTGCATACTGTTAAGTGCCTGGTCCTTTTAGCCAAGAGATAGGTTTAAATTGGGGGTCTTCTCATTATTTATTTTTTTCTCTCCTGAGGAAAGCTGGGATGTAATCCTAGTACTCTGCACAAATAATGGATTTGTGTCTTCTCAAGCATGTTGATTGGTATTGGGATTCTTCCAGTATTCTCAGTAGCCTGCTATGGTCATATTCTTTGGAGGCAAAGTGTCTTCCCTTGCTGTAAGATTATTCTGTGAAGGGAAGAGATACTGTGACCCAGATTTATTCTCCAACAAGAGCTTTCTGAAACCTTAGTCACCTATAAGATCTATTCTTTTTAACTTTCAAATAAGAGTATATGCTATGGTTTGAAAATTGGAAGCTCAAAGGAGAAAGAGAAAGGCATATAAGACCCTGACACTCAGTGTCAAAGCATTTTCCTCCTGGAAATTGTATATAAATGTTTTATTTTTGTCCAAGTGCTATTCACATCTGTCTTCTATATACACATACCCCATTTTTTCTAATGAAAGTAATAAATGCTCACTACAAAATTAGGAAAATAAAATACTTTTTAAAGGTATTTATAATGTCACCAATCAAAGTAGTTATTACTTTTTCAGTTATTTAGTTCTAGACCTAATTTTTACATAGTAATATCCAACAATATGTAGAATCATACTGATCCCATTAAATTAATTTACTATTTATTAGTCATTCTTTTATTTTTAGATGTTAATTTTCCTGTTGTTTGATATTGTAAAGATCTGGTTTATAGTTTCCTTGTATACAAACCTTTATGTACATCTTGTGATTATTTGCTAGAAATAGAATTTCTAGACTTAGTGTTTCAGGCACTCATTCTGTTGCTGGTTTATTTTCTAGCAAATTGAAACCAATTTGTATTTCTCTGTATGCATTTCACTCTTTTAATTACAGTTATCCTGGTAATCATAATTACCATCTCCCCCACCCTTGTTTCTTAAAGAAAAGGCATTGAAAATTACCTTGGCTCCTTGTTCCAGTACGTAGCTTTAATTTGAAGCAAGCCCCAGATAGGATTATTCATGTTACCTGTCCTGCTCTAGCTTACAAATGTTTATAGTTCATGTGAAGTTAGAATAACTTGAATGTCTGTCTGGAAAAATTCTTTTTTTAAATCCATTTGGATTTTTCTACAAGTGTGGTACTCAGTTCTTGCATTCTTTTTATAGCTCATGGACATGGGCTTCACAAGGGAACATGCCATGGAGGCCTTGTTGAACACCAGCACCATGGAACAGGCCACAGAGTACCTTCTAACCCACCCTCCTCCAATCATGGGAGGGGTTGTCCGGGTGAGTTGGCTCAGAAGCTCTTATTTTCCAGGGTATTTAGCTGTCAGTAGTCTTTTTTTCTCTCATTCTTCCATTGCAGGTCTTCCTTTCTATAATCTATGTGAATCAGCTCAGGAGTTCTCATTTTCCAGTGTATTTGTCTCCTAATACCCCCCCCAATCCATCACTGGTCTTTCTTTCTATAAACTACTGCTCATTTTCAGACTTCTCTGGACCAATATTTTCTTTTCATAATAGCTCTCAGAACTTCAGAATGTAATGATCGGATGCTTTCTGCCCCCAGTCATGCAAATTACTAGACTTTGTTTGCGGAAGAACCCATAGTCAGAAAGCAATTGAAGAGGCACACTTTTCTGAGAAACAGTATTAGGTGGTCAGGTTAACGGCCCTTTCCTATACCTACTTTTTCTTGTAATTTTCTCCCTCTGTTCTTGTAATAATCAGGTAAGCCCAGTTGGGTTTGACTGTAGAGAGCAGGATTTGGAGCCCCTTCCCCTCTCTGATGCTTGAGCACAAAATGACTGCTTTGTTATGATTGGAGGTGGTTTCATTGAGTTTATTTGTGGTGGAGGTGTGATTGCTGGATTTTCTTTCATTGCTCTATAGGATCTCAGCATGTCTGAAGAGGACCAGATGATGAGAGCAATTGCTATGTCTCTGGGACAGGATATTCCAATGGATCAAAGAGCAGAGTCACCTGAGGTACGTAGGAAATGACTTGGTACATTAATCTTAATATTTCTATGAACATTATATTCCTAATGTAAAGTATTTAGTAGAATTAAGGTCTGTAGAAAGATATGGGAGTATGCATTCATCCTAACCTTGCCCTCCATCGTTGAGCCTACCTTACATTGACCTGAACCTTTAGGTAAGGCAGATAAATCTTTATTATCAAATATGAGACCCAAAATGTACTTGATGTACCCATTAGGCCAAACCTGTCTATTGTATTCCCATGTTAACAGTTCATTTTACCACATTGGCAGAGAATATAGGAAAGCATCTAGAAATGACTTTGTGGGAGGTGGTATAGGATGCTGCAGATAAATTGGCAGTGCCTTGGAGTGTTTGAGGGTATCCTTTCCTGCCTTCCCTGTCATGCCTTTAATTTGTGTAGCTGCCTTCATACTTATTACTCTACCCTGATGAAGACATCAACTCCTTGAGAAGATAGAGGGTATTCATATGGTTCAGCAAATAGATTCTCAAGATCTCCCCCATCTTTTCTCCTTCACCTCTTCACATGTTGACACTATTTCTTCCCTGCTCCAGGAAGTTGCTTGCCGGAAGGAAGAAGAGGAACGTAAAGCTCGAGAAAAGCAGGAGGAAGAAGAAGCTAAATGTCTAGAGAAGTTCCAGGATGCTGATCCATTGGAGCAAGATGAGCTCCACACTTTCACAGATAGCATGTTGCCAGGTTGCTTCCACCTTCTTGATGAGCTGCCAGACACAGTGTACCGTGTGTGTGATCTGATCATGACAGCAATAAAACGTAATGGAGCAGACTATCGTGACATGATTCTGAAGCAAGTAGTCAATCAGGTAAACTCTCGAGGGGCCAGAACAGGGGAGTATGTGAATTCCTGCCACCTATCAAACCCTAATTTCTTGGAAGTCGGTATTTTTGCGTCCTACGTATTATGGGTATGTATGTTCTGTCTGAGTTCTTTTGTTCCAGTTATCTAGCTCTTGTTTGAATGTTTTCTGAATCAGTAAATTAGCTGCATCACCAAAAAAATATTTAGAAGGTAAAATAAAGCTCTCTTTTTAAAAATTATTTTATTTAACTTTATTTATTCATTTAAATTTGACTGGAGAGGGATTGAGAAAGAGAGAGAGAAAGAAATCTGCCAAGTCCGGGACTCAAACCATGTAAAGCTCTTTTTCTATTTGTCACAATAGATTTGTCTAAAATGTCCAAAAGGTATCTCATTCTTCAGCTGAGTTAGGCCCCCCTATTCTTCATTGGACTAATGAAGTATAAAGGGTTTTTTCCTATGTAACAGCCAGTTTAACAAATGAGTCCTCACGTGATCAAAACTTGTGACCCAGTATTTGTCCTTTTTTAAATAGGTTTTCTTCTCATTATGAAATTAATGTATGTTTGTTGTAAAAATGGGGTAAGAAATAAATTACCTTAAATCCCTTCCCCCAAAGATTGCCAGTTAACATTCTGATTGAAGAAAATGAAGAAATCAAAAAAAAGGGAATCACTTTTTTTCTACCACATAACATAACTTTAATGTACAGAAGCATCATAAAAAGTGTAAGAAAACTGGTTAAAATGTTTTTTCACCAAAAGCTTTACTATCTTTAGTCTATATCAAGAAAACAAAAACTGTAATAGAAGAAAGACAATGATATCAAATTCATTATAACTGTAACATGCAAACTGAAACCCAAGTAATGTTTTAAACATTCTAGGTTTTTGTTTTTCATAGTTTGGAAAGAGATAGAGTGAGAGATTGCAATAAAAGTATGAGTTGGTAGACCCTTTTTGGTGTTGAGCATTTACACCAGGCATTTTTTAAATACTCATCTCCTTTTACTTAAATGTTAGGCTTCTTATAATCTAGCCTAAGAGAATAGAGGCCAGCTGCAGTGACACAGCCATAATGAACAGTGCCATGATTCTGAAGCCAATGGGAAGATCATAGGTTTGCATATCGAGGCCTCCTGGTACACACTGGATGCACACATGCTCATGATCATGGCTGGGATTTAGATCACAGCAGGAAGACCCTTGTTGAGAATAAAATACCCACCACCATTTTTCTCTCTTGGAATAAATAAACTTTCTTAGAAAGTAATTGTTTTAATGGTGATCCCTTAGTAGTTTACATTTACTTTTGATGCAGACACTAAATCCCTGTGTAAGGATGTTACCTACCTTTCCTTGCTAATGTCTTCTGGGTAGAGAGTGTGTTTTAAAAGGTTGGGAGTATTTTCACAGACCTCAGTTTACTTTACAGTTACCTGAGTTGGCCACCTTTTTGATTTCTAGGTTTGGGAAGCTGCTGATGTATTGATTAAAGCTGCTCTTCCCCTGACAACAAGTGATACAAAAACTGTGTCTGAGTGGATCAGTCAGATGGCTACCCTACCCCAGGCTTCTAATTTGGCTACTAGAATCTTGCTTTTAACACTACTTTTTGAGGTAAGATTTAGATCTTTTGAGACCTGTAATTCATTCATCAAAGAATTATTGAACACCTACCATATGAGTCATTGTAGAAGATAAAAGAATAGGGCATCAGCCCTGCTTTTCATGAATCCATGGTTTCTGATAGGCTAAAAATGTACATAATTACAAAATAACAGCATTCTGTGCTACATAAATGATATTAGCAGTTTTAACTAAGTTCAGGAAAGGCATATGCATCACTTCTGGATAAAATGAGAAGGGTTTGTTTCAGAACAAGTGTTAATTTCTTGATTTGAGTCTTAAAGGATAGTGGGGTGATGTTAAAAATGAAACTTAAATTGCTACTATAGTTTGGTCATTGGGTATTTTTGCCTCTGAGGAAACCTGGCAGCCACATGATGAGTAGCATATACAAATGGGATGTGTCATCTGATCAGTCAGCAGGTTATTTGAGACAAGAGTGGTTTGGGCAAGAACTTGTTCTCATTCCAACCAACGTAGGAACTAGTAGGCAGCTGACTTTGGATAAGGAAATGGCCCTTCATTCATAGCTTATCATGTTTAATAGCAAAACCTGAACGTTAGCACAGAGTATATCATTTCAGAAGAGAAGTCTACTATATGTATTGTACTATGTTTTTACTGTCTTGGGGCTTTCTTTTATGGTAGAAGTGATCATTCTTATTATAGCACCATGTGACTAGATCTTTGTGGGAAAGCCTTCAAAAGTACTAAATGTTAGGGGTCCTCAATAGCATAATTTAAAGGGAAAAATCACTTGCCAACCACTATTTTAAAAAATCATAAGTATTCATAGCAGGTGGTTTTTTGTTTTGTTTATTCCCTTTTAGAGAGAGAGAGTTTTTTCTATAGGGTGTGTGCTCACTGGAGAGGCAGAAAGCAAGAAATCACCCCCTCGGGGGTTGGCCACGCCACAGTCCCTTCTCCTCCAATCTCTTCTTGGGATTTTGGGCATGCACGCACACACACCCGGCGTGAATTTTAAGCCGCGGGATCCAGGACTAGAACCGTGGTCAACACAAAGGAGTCCAGCAACTTAACCATTACACCATCTGCTGGCCCCTCATAACAGTCTTATATTTTCTTCTAGTCTTTTCTTTCTCCCTTTAAACAATCGAGATAAGATTCTATAGAAAACTTTCTATATTTGTTCAGTGTGACATTATAACTATTTCCCCATGTTATATATGCATTGTTCCATCTTTTGAATGTTCTCTAATTTATTTAAATAATTACCTACTAGTCATTTACTTCCAGTTATTTCCTATTAGATTTAACACTTCCATGAAGTCCCAGTAAGGGAAACCATGATATATATTCTGTGTTTATAAAGCTTCTCTGTACATTAAAAAGATTTACAATTCAATATAGTTAAGACTGTACAGCCTAGGCAATGATCTTTAATCCTATTAATAACTATTTCTGTATTAAGTACATATTGATATGGTAGGAACTCTGTTGGGCACTCTCTGTATATACGTACACACACAGAATCACCTCATTTAATCATAATAGTTACCCTGGAAGTAGAAATTAGTAATCCCATTGAGCCATAAGGAAACCAAAATTTAGAGAATTTGATTCCTCTCAGATTACAGAGATGGTTAAGGGGTAGGGGGTGGAATGTCATTTTAACTAATTTGTTTCCCATTTTACCTGGGAGGTGCTAATCCTGTACAGTACTAATCCTTGATACTAGGTACAAGTTGGTAACTGTTTTAAATTTTTTTTCATTTTATTAATCAGGAGTTGAAACTGCCTTGTGCTTGGGTGGTTGAATCGAGTGGCATCCTTAATGTACTCATCAAACTCTTGGAAGTGGTTCAGCCCTGCCTCCAGGCCGCCAAGGAGCAAAAAGAGGTCCAGACCCCAAAGTGAGTGGCTTCTGTATTTGTCCTGGTTTCACTTCTTTTCTGATGAAACCTCACCCCTCAAGTTTCAGCCTGAATCACGAGCTTTCCTGGGACATGTATGGGGCAAATCTTAGGTATTTTTGTAGCTTAAATATTGTAATATACTTAATGAAATCAAGATCTATTTTCCCAGTTTGTGCAGTTTTCTGATTTTCCCAGAACAAATCATTTCTCCTTTTCAGGTGGATCACTCCAGTATTGCTCTTAATTGATTTCTATGAAAAGACAGCCATCTCCTCAAAAAGGAGAGCCCAGATGACTAAGGTACATGATATAATGTATATGGTTGATGGTTGGCAGGACAGTTTAGCTTCCTTTTTTTTAATTACTTATTTTAATTTTATTTATTCATTTATTTTAATTTGACCAGAGAGAGAGGGAAAGTAAGAAAGCAAGCCACCAGATCTGGGACTCGAACTGTGGTCAGCCATGTGGGAATGTTTAGTGTCTTAACCACCACGCCACCAGCTGGCCCCAAGAGTAAGCCAGAAGAGATAAGGTAGAGTAGTGAAGAATGTAAAGGACTCTGACCAAGGTGTTAATCTTTTGAGAGATACTCATATTTCTCTTCTTAGTGGAGAGGTGGAACTATTTTCTTATGGATCTATTTGCTTAAAGGCTCTAAGAACTTACCCTGTAGTAAATGTTAAAGGAGTGTGTTATCTAGAGGAGGAGTGGCTTTTATTCTAGGTAATGAGTATACAGCAGTCCCACCAAAAGCAGGTGCTAAGATGGGATTTTTTTCCTAGGGCAAGGCTAAGGAATGTGAAGGTAAATGTATATGGAAATTCCTGTCTCAGTTTTCAGACTATTAAATATCCAGTATATTTCTTTTTTCCTGAGTTAGTTTTAGCAATGAACACCTAGAACTTAGTATTGCATTCAACAGTCAACTTTGAAGGTAATAAAAAGAAACTTTGTGCTTTTATATTTAGTACCTACAGTCCAACAGCAACAATTGGCGCTGGTTTGATGATCGCTCTGGGCGTTGGTGTAGTTACAGTGCAAGCAACAACAGCACTATTGATTCTGCCTGGAAATCTGGAGAGACAAGTGTGCGATTCACTGCAGGCCGAAGAAGATACACTGTCCAGTTCACTACAATGGTGCAGGTACATACTCCCCCAGTACTGTAAACTTTATTAAAAGAAGGGAAGGTGCTGATTTGCCTTTTAGTTTGACAAGAGTTACTACTACTAGATTGGGTATAGTTTTCAGAGAACTGAATCTTTCTAAAATCATTGGTTAGACCATGAATCTGGAACAGTTTTCTACCGTTACTCCTGGAAATGTTATTTTAAGTGTTCAGTTAAGGGGTTAGGAAGTAATCAGAGATAGTGTCAGCACTATTGGAAAGTTTACAGTTCATTATAGAGCCATGTGTGTGTCACTTTCCGCTGGGGATTATTGGATTTTTTTCCCTGTGATAGGGATGAGATAAATTACCAGGGTTCCTTCCTGCTGGAGCATTTTACCTGGGAAGTGTCCCCACCCCCACACACACATCTTTAGAATTCCTTTTTTAGTAGAGTTTTGTTTTTGTTTTTTGTTTGTTTGTTTTTGTTTTTTGTTTTGTTTGTTTTTTGTGTTTTTTTGTGTTTTTTTGTTTTGTTTTGTTTTTTTTTTTCTCTTTGAATTCCTAGGTTAATGAGGAGACAGGGAATCGACGCCCTGTGATGCTGACTCTCCTCAGGGTACCACGGCTGAATAAAAACTCAAAAAATAGCAATGGAGTGGAACTAGAGAAGACACTGGAAGAAAAAGAAATGGACATCAAACGTAAAGAAAATAAAGGCAGTGGTATGCACTTTTAGTTTTGTTTCTTTTAAGGAGTATTTTACCTAAAACTAGTATGCCTTCATGGCTTTAGGTCTGGCCAAATTTCATTGCGAGTGATTCCTTTTGATCAGATTGCTTAACAAGTTCAGGCTATAATGTTCCTTTTATATGCATTTCATCAGTTCTTAAAATTGGACACTTGGTGTGTTTCTCTTAATAGGGCCAATTTTTGGCTAGTTACTTGAGAGGGAGAAGTGTGGAAATAAATGTCAAAGGCTAAACTTCCTGAACTCTTTCTGTCACATTTATAGATACCCCATTGGGTCTAGAGAATACGAATACTGAAAAGGAAACAAGCCTGGAAGAAACAAAAATTGGGGAGATCCTGATCCAGGGCCTGACAGAAGATATGGTGACTGTTTTAATCCGGGCCTGTGTGAGCATGCTGGGAGTTCCTGTGGACCCAGACACTTTGCATGCCACCCTTCGCCTCTGCCTGAGGCTCACCCGGGACCACAAATATGCCATGATGTTTGCAGAACTGAAGAGTACCCGCATGATCTTGAATTTGACCCAGAGCTCAGGCTTCAATGGGTTTACTCCCCTGGTCACCCTTCTCTTAAGACACATCATTGAGGACCCCTGTACCCTCCGTCATACCATGGAAAAGGTGAGTCTTTTTGGTGTCAGATGCTGGTTAGCTTATCTTTGTTCTCCTTGGTTTTAGAATAGGTAGTCATTTGATTATTCCTGGGGTATATAGCTAGATAAGTACTATATACTCTGCCCAGCAACATTTCCCAACTGAGCACTTAGAAGCCTTTTTAGATTATTCTATTGAATGATATTTTAAAAAGAAAAAAAGAAAGAAAGAAAGAAAAAAAACTAGAAAAAGATATTTTCTATCCCTAAGTTTATACATCTTACCTAAAAAAGTTCTCTCTGGGCAATTTAGGTTTATTGTACCAAGCTAGAAACTGTTAGTAAAAACTGACATTCCTTCCCCCATTCCTTCCTTTTCATATCTTAAAGATCGTTCCTCTCTAGAAGTACCTCTTAGGCATTTACCCAAGAGCCCATTTTCTGTTCTTGTTGTTTAAAAGAGATTTTTTCCCTAATACGTGTGCACTCACTGGAGAGAGAGACAGTGAGAGGGAAAGTGAGAAATCACCCCCCCGGGGGGGATGGCCACTCCACAATCTCTTCTCCATTTTCCTTCCGTGATCATGCACCCTGCATGAGTTTGAAACCACTGGGTCAAGGACTTGAACCACAGTCAGCTATGTGGAAGTCCAGTAACATAAACACTATGCCATCTGCTGGCCCCTAGAGCCCATTTTTAGAACATTGTATTTTAGAGTTGTGAAAGGATAACAAAGCTTTTTGAGTGTTTATGATCTGCCAGGTACTGCCATAGGCACTAATGCCTAGTATGCAGATCAGAAATCAGATTTGGGTGTTTTAGGAAATACATAAAGTAGTATAAGAAATGACAAAGTAATCATAAAAAATAAACATTAAGACAACAGTGAAGGTGGGGACAGATGCTTTACTAGTAAGCTTTTTCCTCCTCAGTCCTTTTGCAAAATTTTCTGTTTTCCTGCTAATACTTCATGAGCAGTCATATGAATGTTTTTAGACATCTCTTCCGTTTTCCTTTCTTGGGATATTGTTTTCCACATTTACAAGTAGTGTTGCAGTATGTATTTTTTGTGCCTATCTTTGTTCATGTTTAAGATTATTGTACTTAGAAGTTCCTAGAAATTGAATCAAAAGGTGTAAATATTTTTTAGCTTGCCTGCCAGAAAGGGTACCAGTTTATACTTTCATATGTATGTGAGTATACATCTCAGATTTTTCAGACAGTTTTTCATTCAGCCTGTTTCATTTCACCTCCCATGTGCAAAATCAACAGAGGGAAAGCTATTAAAAGCAGACTGTACAGAGACCCAAGGTCAGGAGACTGCCCCAAGGGGGATTAAAAATATATATATATCCTGATATAATTCTGACTTTTTAACAAATTTTAAATGTTTAAAACTTACAAAATTTTAAAATGATAGGAAAAAATGTAGGTCCTCATCAAATGAGGGAAAGATTTATGAAACTTTCAGTAATTTGTATTTGGGGGTGTGGGGAACAAAAGAAGATCAGTGGCAGTTTTAACTTACCAAGTTGGCAAAATGTAAAGGCTTGATAATATCCATTGCAGGTACGGGTGTGGAGAACCAGGCATACTCTTACTTTTGGTAGGAGTGGAAATTGGTGCAGCCACATTGGAGGGCAATTTGGTACTGTCAGTTTAAGATATCCTTTGACCTAGAAATTCTATGGCTAAGAATTTATCTGATTACTAACGTCAAGTATGCCAAGATACATGTGCAAGGGTGTTCACTATGGAATTACTTAAAATACCAAGAAACTAGAAGTACAATGTCCAGGAGTAGAGGACTGGACAAGTAAATATGGCACATTCTTGATAGTGAAATTAAACTTTTCTGTATTTAAAGAAAAATTAATATTATTTTATAATTGCCAGGCACAGGCCAAAATACAGAGTTTACAATATGCTAGACTGAAGAAGTATGATTTGCTAAGAAAAGCATTAAAATAGAGAGAGATAATTATCTTTGTGAATGTATAGTTCCCAAAGGAATAGGTAATGGAAAATGCAATTGAATTATTTTCTTCATACTTTCCTGTACTCTCCATGACCGATGACTTATTTTATAAGAGCAAAAGCACACATAGCTAGGTCTAAGCCCTGTGGTATCAAAGCAGTCTGTAAATAGTTCAGTATCTCCTGTACTTATTGTTATCTCAGATGGATGGTTGACTTTGAGACATAAAGAAAATGTTTAATTTTGTTTCTATACACTAAGTGGATATAGGTGTTACATATTTTGAATTATTCTGCTTTATAATTAGGACAGTATTTGGGGAGGCTCAGAGTAGGCACTTAAGGAAGCCATGCAGAATCTTTGCTATGTTAGATCTTTAGTCTAGACACATCTCCCAGTTTCTATAAAGATTATACTCAATCTGGTCTAATAATTGATAGTTTTGAGATATGCTATAACTTTTTTAGGAGCCATGTTTTTTTAATCAAGAGGGAATGGAACGGGACTTGAAGGCCAGGTTTATCTTTCTCTCAAAAACCTAAAGCTGTCATCCACAGTTTTGAGGCAGAGCTTGGTTAGTGTTTAATCCTTGGTGACTCTTCCTTGACTGCAGTTGTTTATTTAGAAAGTGGCATTTAATCAGCAGTGCTTCTCCTTTCCTTTACTAGGTTGTTCGCTCAGCAGCTACAAGTGGAGCTGGTAGCACTACTTCTGGAGTTGTATCTGGCAGCCTCGGCTCTCGGGAGATCAACTACATCCTTCGTGTCCTTGGGCCAGCTGCATGCCGCAATCCAGACATATTCACAGAAGTGGCCAACTGCTGTATCCGCATCGCCCTTCCAGCCCCTCGAGGCTCAGGCACTGGTGAGTTACACTTCTTCCTAGCCTTTGGGATATTGTAGTCTATAGCCTGTTAAAAATCCAGAGGTTTTTCTGTGAGACCTGTTGGGTCGTCGGGAAAATCACAATGCATTTTTTGCATAGAAAAATCATAGAAAAATACATTGTGACTTTTCCAATGATCTAATTAACTTAGAGAGTCTCCTTAGCCAATCGTTAGGACATTGGCTGGTTAATCATTTTTATCAAATTTAATAGATATTTCTTTGGGCCTTGCCCTGTTATAATTCCTGCAGAGACACCAAGGACTCATTCATTCTAGTCCTTGTCTCCAGAGGTCATCTTCCTGAGATAGCTGGGCTTATTTACAGTTAATGGTTTGCAAATAAAGTGGTAATTGAGGGTTAGATGAATGTGTGACTTATGCAGTTCAGTGGGAAATACACAGTATGATCTGTGTATTTTCACCAGAAAATGCTAGGTCTCTTCTTTTTTTTTTTTTTTTTTTTTTTTTCAGTTTGCTCTAGAGCACATGTGCTCATTGGAGAGAGACAGAGAGAGGGGGAGAGTGAGGAATTACCCCCTGGGGGGATGGCCACACCACAGTCCCTTCGCCATTTTCTTCAGGATTTTGGGCATGTACACATACATGCCCTGCATGTTTTTCAAGCCTCCAGGTCCAGGACTCAAGCCACACAATAAACTCCGTGGGATCCAGCCATCTTAAACTCCATGCCACTTGCTGGCCCTGTTTGGTCTATATTTAATTATGAGATAAATTTAATTAGGTAAATACTAATCATGGGAAGTTCTGTAATATTAATGTCCTGAAAAGGAAAACAAAAGCAGACATATCTTCTGATAAAAGGAAACTAGAGAATAGTAACCACCGACAATATTGATTGGGTTCTGGATCCACATAAAGGAGTATGGGAGAGTTTTATTGTTAGATTATGAAGATTGTGTATTAAATTTATATCAAATAACAATCACCTTTTTAAAATACTTTTAATTAATTACTTTACATTTTTTCGCTGAGCATCATCACAGCATACAATATGTAATTTTCATCCAAAATATACTGTAAAGTGACTTAATCATCATCAACAAATAATTTTCTGTTTCTTATATATATATAGATATTTTCCCCCTATTTCTCATTCTCTGCCATTTCCCACCCTCCTCCTATAATCCCTCTGGTATCTGCAGTTACTTTCCATTCTTTTTTTTATTTTTTTCTCCCATTTCATTGATTCACAAAATATCTTCATTAATCTAAATACTTTAAATAGTGAATTCAGCTGATAATTACATATCTGTGAACACATGTTGACTTTAGGTATGAAACTCTGTGTAGCATGAATATACTATAAAGTAGCTCCTAGCTGAGGCTATATAGCTTACTGTGGTCATTAAATAGATATTTTTATGTATTTTTTAATTTCAAGAAAGGCAGTTTTAGCTTTAATAAATCAAAATTTAAAAAATGTTAAGAGAACTTTGTTTAAAACTTAAAGCCAGGAAACAGGTTAGGATTCTGTTTGAATAGTAGATACATGGACTCATCCACAACTCAATAGAAGACAAAAATTCTTAACTCTGGAAAACAACACATAGAAGAAAGATAATGTTTTAGTCAAAAGTCATAAAATTCTATTTCACCAGTTCAGACTCACGTACTTTATCTTCTGTTGTGGTCTGATCTTTCTGTTCGAATTCTGGAAGAGAATGTTCTACTCTGGACTTGTCCCTACCATTAAGCTGGCCATTTTCTTAGGTTTTTTTTTTCAAATTCTCATTTCTGTGTGTCTTGACTTTAGTTTTCCTGAGACAGCACTCCCTTCAGAACTTCTTGGAGAATTGGTCTGGTGTCAGTAAATTCTTTCAGCTTTTGTTTAATCTAAGAATGTTCTTGTCTTTTCCCACATGAAAGATAGTCTTGCTGGGTACAGTATTCTTGGCTAGATATAGTATTCTTAGTTGAAATTGTTTTTCACTCAACATTTTGAGTATATTTTCCCATTGTTTCTGATGAGAGGTCTGCTGTTAGCGTGATGGGATATTCTTGTAGGCAACTTGACGTTTCTCTCTTGTTAATCTTAGTATCTCATCTTTGTCTGTGGTTTGATCAGTCTTGCTATAATGTGTCTTGGAGAATATCTTCTTCTGTTGATCCTATTTGGGGTCCTTTGTATTTCTTGGGTCTGAGTCGTTGAATGCCTCTCTAGTTTTGGAAAGTTTTCTTCTAGGATTTCATGGAATAGATTATCAATGCCCTTACTCATCTCTTCACCTTCTGAGATACCAGTTATCTGGGTGTTTGGATGCTTAATGATATCTAATATTTCTCATATGTTATTCTCATTTTGGGGAGCTATTTTCTCAGTGTTTGTGGTGGATTTTACTAGTCCAGTGATTCTGTCTTCTACATCTGAGATTCGATCTTCTGTATGATTTAGTCTGTTTTTAATACTTTCAATGGAGGTTTTGACTTCCTGTATTATAGCCTTCATCTCCAACAGTTGATTCTTTTTTATGGTGTGTATTTCCTCTTTCAGCTCTCCCAAGAACTTTCTCATCTCCTGGAACTCATTGACTCTTTTCTCCTGCCTCTTTTCTCCTGCCTCTTCTGGAGTTCCTTATCTCTCTGCTCTTCCATCTCTGTTTTGTCATTATGAATATTCTAAATTCTTTATCAGACATTTCTGCTAGTTCCATTATACTATCTGTGGATGAAGAGGAGTTGTTCATTTCCCTTGGGGGAAAGGTATTTTCTTGGTTTCTCTTATTTTTGTGCCTCCGTGGTGATTTCTAGTCATCTGATGGGTTATTCTTTTCTCCCTAATTTCTAGAAGTTCAATCTGAGCTATCAGAGGCCCCACAGGAGGAGGTGGTGGTCTACAAACTGCCAAGTTCTATTTTTCTCCCTTTGTGTTGCAGATTCAGTAGTAATTAAGGAATGTTTTGACTCTAATAGTACTCAGATTCTTGGCTACTTGGTTTCACTTAGACCTGTCTAGACATTCAGTGCATGGAGCCCTAGCAACAAAGTAACGAAGTAAAAGAAAAAGGGTAAGAAAACAGATAAAGTAAGAATGGAAAAAGAGAAAAGAAAAATTTTTTTTTCCTAAAAGATGAAAACTGCATGGCACATAAGTGCACTGCACAAAAGCAGTAGATCTCAACTCTCATGGTGGACTCAGTCTTCTTATCTGAAGGCCTGCCTTTTTTGCCTCTCCTAAATGGGAGGGGGGGAAAGAGGAGGAGATTATTACCAAGATAAAGGAGGAAATCAGAGCTAAGAAAATACTTAACCCTAAAATTAAAAAAAAAAAGATAAATGAAGGGACCAGCAGTTAGCATAATGGCTATGTCGCTGAATTCCCATGTAGCCAACTGCGGTTTGAGTCCCGGACCTGGTGGCTTAAACTCATGCTGGGCGTGTGTGCATGCATGCCCAAGATCCCTAGAGGAGAATGGAGAAGGGATTGCGGCGTGGCCATCTCCCTGAGGGTGATTTCTCACTTTCTAGCTCTCTGTCTGTCTCTCTCTCTGTCTTTCTGGCGAGTGCACACGCCCTATAGCTAAAACCTCTGGGGGGGGCGGGGGAGAAAGATGAAGAGACAGATGGATAGAGGGGACTCTACCAGGGTGACTTCTAAAGGAACATCTTCATTTCTCTTATCCCTGAAAGTACTAGATCTCAGCTCTCATGCCACACTCAGTCTTCTTGCCTGAATCTTGTCTGAAGGCCTCTATGGGAGAAGTTTTGAATATGAATTGTGCTGTTTCCTTTTCAACAGTTTGAGTAGTTGACATGTAAATTTTTCTCAAAAATATTTAAAACCATATGGTCTCAGTTGTTATAGAGTCACAAGCAAAATTATAACAAATATTTCAAACATTGTCTTTAAAATTCAGTTGTTTGAAATTTTGAAAATTTTTTATTAACCATTAAGAACTGTGGAGCATGAGCAAAAATTTTTGATATGTAACGTAAGTGTTTGTGAGGAAATGTAAAAATAAATAGATAATTTTAAAAATACCGTGTATGAGATAATATATATCCATATTAATACATTTCTTGGGTGTCATGGTGGTTATGTAGAGAAATATGCATGATTAGGATGTACATGTAGATATATTTAGGGGTTATCAAATGGTTTTTCTACAATAGACATAAAGTATATGTATGCTTATCACTATTTTGATTTTTTTGTAAGTTTGTGGGATTGTTTTATTTTTCAGTAGAAAGTTGGGGCATGATTGTTTCAGGATTTCCAGCAATGTCCCTGTCTCTGTGCTGGGCACATTTTCATGTGTGGTCTCATTTAATCCTCAAAATAATTAAATTTCAAGAATGACAGGGCTATATCCCAGATGACCAACTGAGGTCAGAATGCCAGCTGTGAGTGCATTCATGTGAGTGCATGCCAGAATGGCATTCATGTGAGTGCATGCCCCAAATCCTAATGGGACAGAAAGATGGATGAAAAAGGATTGTAGCTTGACCATATCCTGTTTGGGGTTGCTTTCTTTCTCCTTTTCATGCATGCCTTCCAGCAGTTTAAAAAATATTGAGGTTTATTACAGTATTTCAGTAAGCAAATTTGGGTGCTAGTTCACTATTGACTGATTCTTCTATGTCCTTTGACTTAGCTTCAGATGATGAATTTGAGAATCTTAGAATTAAAGGCCCTAATGCAGTACAGCTGGTGAAGACAACCCCTTTGAAGCCCTCACCTCTGCCTGTCATTCCTGAAACTATCAAGGAAGTAATTTACGATATGCTGAATGCTCTGGCTGCATACCATGCTCCAGATGAAGGTATGTAGATAACTACCTCAGGAGGCTGAGTGTTAAAGGATTCTTTACTTTACCTGGATTATTTAAGCCATATCATAGCTAAGTGAGCACTCACTGTGACCATATTCTGGAGTTAGGATTACAGACAGGGGCATAGTGGAGGGTCCTAGGCTACAGCATCTGACCTGGAGGGATGGTATAGTTAGGAAAGTTTCGCAGAATGAGTGATGTCTAAAATGAGTCTTGAAAGATGAGGATGAAGAGATTATGAAAACTCTGTTTTATGAGAGTACATATCATACATGCAGAGGGAACAATAAAGATTTAAGGAGTTAATAGCACCATATGAGCAGAGTGAAAATAAAACCCCAGAATGTTTCCAATGTTTTTATAGTCAGAGGTGAAGCATCTTTATTGTCCAAAGAGCTGGGGATTTATGAAAGGTAGCAGGGCTTCCTAATTTTTGATACCACCGTTCCAGTTTACTTTTATGCCTAATTATGGTGCTACTTATAAGCACTGGAAAAGTCATGAATTAATTGCTTAAGAGCCCAGCCATCCCAGTCAAGTCCTTCTGAATTTTATTCAAGCTATATTTATTTGATAGGTCCACAGAAATGCCAAAAACTGATGAATGTTGCCTTTAATAAGTAAAGAAAATTTGAATCTTTGCTTTGTTGCTTTTCATCACAGTACCCTGAGCCATATACTTAGTTGCTTCTTCCACCACTACAGAATCTTTACTCCATTTTATGTCCCTTGCTCTGGGTATCAACCATGCCCTGTAGACTATACTATTAATACATTACTCATTTTTCTTACATGAAAACTTGTAATGTCACTATAAAAATAGTCATAGCAACTTGAGATGAAGTCGACTGTGCCTATTAGATAGGAATTAACATGGTAAAATTATAGAAGAGGTGTCTGTTTCTGTTTTTCTAGCAGACAAATCTGATCCCAAACCTGGAGGTATGACTCAAGAGGTTGGCCAGCTCCTACAAGACATGGGCGATGATGTATACCAGCAGTACCGGTCACTTACTCGTCAGAGCAGTGACTTTGATACCCAATCAGGTTTTTCCATTAACGTAAGTCATATTCCATCAGCTTATTGGTTGTCTTCTCCCTTTCCGATACTAGTGTGTTCTCAGTATTTAAGATTATTCTGGGGGGTTTCAATGGTATTAATTTTGATATATCTGTAACTTAAAGATAAAATTAGGGTATCTCAGTGATTTTTTTTCTCTCTTCTGATTGCAGATATTTTCTCAGTTCATTTTTCTTTCTCATTTTCCCCTTGTCTTTGCCCTTGCTCTCTTAGTTATTGTGTTTATAATCATTGCTTCCCACAGATTATAGTACACAGAGGGAACGTGGTTAAAAAGTCAACCAAAGAGAATCTGTAGCATTTTCAGCCAGTATCCTAGGAAGGACTCCTGCTATCTGGGTACAACTATGTTTAAAATTTATAATAGCTTATAAGTTTTCTTCCACAGAGTCAGGTCTTTGCTGCAGATGGTGCCTCCACTGAAACATCTGCATCTGGGGCCTCCCAAGGAGAGGGTAATGTTTTGTTTTTTCTTCCCATCACATTCTTATTTCTTGGGTAGAAAACTGGAGAAAACCATGGGCATCATGTTCAGGGCATAGGAAAGTACAGGCAAAGTTGACTTGTCTACTTATATGAGTGACCTCAGTGTTTTATAAATAATGTTATGGAACTATAAGTTAAATATCCTGGTTGTCGTTGTTACGGTGAGAACCTTTTGTTTTGTACTCTTTACACCACTCCATATTTCTTTTGGAGGATTCTTTAAGCTGGCTCACAGAGCTTAGATGCCAATGGTGCTATCCTAGCTATATACTTTGTGTGAGGTTCCTACTTCCTCTGGTGTCAGCAGAACCCATTGACTCCTTAACTGTGAATTATAGAAGTGTTATGTGGAAGCAGTCTAATGAGAATTTTCAAGAACTGCTGCTGCTTAAGTTGGAAATATCTTTAAGATCTAATTTAGGAGACATGTTGTTTAATTTACTGGTCCCTGGAAGCATATCAAACATGATAAAAACTAGCAAAGTATTAGTTAACACATGTTACTGGGTTTACTGCCCGTTTGTGTTGTGTATATCGGGTGAAGGCTATTTTATTTAAGAGAAGCATTATGTCCACTATGTGATGGACTGTGTTAGACACTAAAATGAATCGGATCCATTTTCTGAACTTTGTATTGTGAGGAAGCCCTACAACAGTTAGAATGGAAGATAACTGCCAGAATGGAGGCAGGCTTAGATAAGGTATTAAATAATGGCCACAAAATACACAGTAGTATCTGAATATATCTAGATGAGACAGAAAGGCATTTACAGAAGTGGTCAACATTTGAGCTTAATTATTTAAGAGTATGTACCAGGCAGATGGAAGGGAACAAGGAGGTCAAAAAGATGTCCTGTTTAGAGAACTACTATTTGTACAGTATTTCTGAAGCATAAAATTATAAGGGGCTGGCCCATGGCCTAGTGATTAAGGCAGCTTGGTCCCACAACCAACTGCATGGTTCAAGTCCCTAACCCAGGGACTTAGACATCAGTGCACTCACATGCCTGCCCAAAATCCCAACAGGATGGAGAAATTGAGGAGAAGGGATTGCAGTATGACCGACCATGCCCCATTGGGGGAGTGTATTCTCCCTCTCTCCTTCTTTTCATTTCTCTAGAGAGTGCATACACCCTCTGACAAACATTTTAATTATGTATAAGGAGAGAAATGGTGGTAAATGCATGAACAGTTGGGTAGATTCTCCCTGCTATACTGTATCTGCATACCACATCCAAGACCTGTATCATCCTAGTTCTCTGTCCTTTCACCACATTATGACAAGAGTTCAGTTCGCACAAGTGGCATAAAAAGGAGAGAGAGTATTCTTTGTTTTTTGTTTTTTGTTTTTAACTTTATTTATTTATATTTGACCAGAGAGGGACAGAATAACAGGGGAGCAGGGGAGTAAGAAAGCAAGACGCCAGGTCCGGGACTTGAACCACGGTCAGCCATGTGGGAGTCCAGCACCCTTAACTACCATGCCTCCTGCTGGCCCCGAGAGAGAATATTCTTTCCACTTAAAGGCTTGATTTTTGCCAGTATTCCAGCGTGGAGCTGAATCAGTATTTGGGTCTTTCAGCAGCTTCAACTCCGGAGGAGTCTCGAGATGGGAAGAAAGACAAAGAAGGGGACCGGGCCTCCGAGGAAGGCAAGCAGAAGGGCAAGGGCAGCAAACCTTTAATGCCTACCTCCACTATCCTTCGTCTTCTGGCAGAGTTGGTGAGATCCTATGTTGGTATTGCTACCCTGATTGCCAACTACAGCTACACTGTGGGCCAATCGGAACTGATTAAAGAGGTAATATTTTCAGCTTCTGTAGAAGATACTATACTTCCATTATTTGAGTACCTGCTATGAGTCAGACACTTTACTGTGAGCCCATTCATATTAAGTGCTAACCCAGTAATAAGAGAAAAGCAGAGGTCTCTCAAGATAAATTAAAGAGCCATGTCTTAGAGCCAGCAGGCTCCCTTCAGGGGTTGGGTTGATGAGATTTGTTCAATTGAAAATCCCTTGGTCTCCAGTTTAAAGATCACAAAAGGCAAGACTAGATAGAGTCAAGGAGACTAGTTAGGAATCTTAGTAATTCATGACCTTGGTGAATTTGGGGGGAAATGGGTGAGTTGAGGAAATGTTTTAAAGGCAGAAATGGACAAGAACTAGATTTGAAGGAAGGAGGAGGAATCAAAGATTCAGGGATCTTTCTTGGTTTATATTTATTCATTTCTTTTATGGGTGGACATTAGCCAGAACATAGAAGCAGGGAAAGTTATAAGAGAAAACATGGAATTTAGGAGATACCTAATTAATGGTATGTAGGGAATAGTTGAATAAACCAAATAAATAAGAATTTAGGTGTTTATCTTCCAGATGTACCCACACATGTGTGAAGACACCAGCTGTGGTTAACATTAACAATAAAATGGACACATTTTAAAAAGTCGCGTGTACCCTGTGAATATGTCCAACTATTATATGTAAATTAGAACTTAAGTTTTTTGTTTTTGGTTTTGTTTTGTTTTTTGCTATAGGGCACATGCGCTCGCCAGACAAACAGAGAAAGAGAGACAGAAAGCGAGAAATAACCCCCCAGTGGGGATGGCCACGCCGCAATCCCTTCTCCTCCATTCTCCTCTCGGGATCTTGGGCACGCACACGCGCCCGGCATGAGTTTTAAGCCACTGGGTCCGGGACGCAAACCGCAGTCAACTACGTGGGAGTCCAGCAACATAGCCATTACGCTAACTGCTGGTCCCAGAACTTAAGAATTTTTAAAACTTGAAAGAAAAGTTTGCATCTAGAAAAAGCCCAAATGTCCATCAGAGCTGTGGGAAAGAATGAAGTCATTTTATATGCCTTATTATGGAATTATCTTCAGGCTATATTTTTTCAAATGAGTGGGCACTTTGAAAAACTATAAAATAGGTGCTCAGGGAGGTTTTGATCATAAAGGGGACCTTTTTTTGTGGATTGTGTCATAATTTCATGGTTAGTAAGTAGCAGAGGGTCAAAGAAGAGAGCAGGGGGGCACTAGGTGATATAGACAGTCTCTAAAAGCAGCTGCCATTTTTAAAGACATTTGAACTTTAATCTAGGTTTAAAATACAAAAATGCACAAATCCTAAATAAATAGTCAATTTTTCCTAAATAAGCACTACCCAAATTAAATAAAACATTACAAACTCCCCCATGCTGCCCTCCTTGTGTCTTATCTCTCTCTTGCCCTTCACCCCTTGTAAGGTAACCATTATCTTGAATTCTATTGCCATAAGTTGGTTTGACACTTAATTGGTTTGTTTAATTGTCAGAGGGCACATGCCCTCACCAGAGAGGAAAAGGACAAAGCATCCCCCAATGGGATGTGGTTACTCTACAATCCCTTCTCTCCATTTATCCATCCTGTAGGAATTTGGGGCACACATGCGCATGTACCCTGCATGATTGTCAAGCCACTAGGGCCTGAATTCAAACCATGGTTAGCCATGTGGAATCTGGCTCTCTTAACTTGTTTGTCCACAGAGCTGGCCCTGGTTTGGCCATTTATGTAAATGGAATTTTATAATATGTACTCTTTTGCACCTGGTTTATTTTGCTCAACATGTTTACAGGATTTAACGTTGTATGTAGTTATAGTTTATTTTCTTTTCTGTATAGAATTTCATTGCGTATCTTTGTGTCCATTCTACTGTTAATAAATAATTGGGCAGTTCTCCTTTTGGTCCTATCACAAGTAGTGCTATTATGAACACTTTTTTTTTTTTTTTTTTTGCAGGTTTTTGTCATAGGGCACCTGCACTCACAATAGAGAGGCAGATAAAGAAAGCGAGAACTTTCCAGGGGGCAGGGAAGGGAACAAACACACACAAACACAACCCATCCTGATTTTCAGGCCACGGGGTTCAAGACTCAAACCGTAGTCAGCCTTGTGGAAATTCCATGGCCCCATGAATATTCTTATACATGTCTTAGTAAACATGTATTAGCACTTTTTTCCTTTTTAATCTGCAAAAGGGCTCATATGCTTGCCTTAGAATGAATGTGAGAAAACACCCCCTATGGGGAATGGTCACAGTGCAGTCTCCTCTTCTCAATTGCTCCCTCCTTTCAGGACCTTGGAGATATATGCATCCATACCTGCCCAGCTTTCTTCTCAAGCTGTCAGGTCTGGAACTCAAACTACAAGGTCTGCCATGTGGGATCAAGCTGCCTCAACCACCAGGCTATAGACCGGCCCATATGTTAGTACTTCTGTTGGATGATATGTGCCTAGAATCAGTACTGATTTACTTCATTTGCTGAGCTCTATGTATTTGTTCAGCTTTAACAGATGGTGCCAAAAGTTTTCCAGATTGGTTGTGTCAATGTGTATTATTGTTCAGCAATATATGGGACTTCTCATTGTTTCACCTCCTTGCGCACTTTGGGTTTGTTTTTTGTGGTTTTTTTTTTTTTTGGTTTTTGGGCTTTTGTAGTTGTTGTTGTTGTTGTTGTTGTTTTTCTTCTAATTTTTCCTTTTGTAGAGGTATTTTATTGTTACAGTGTTTTTTTCCTAGTTGAACCAATGTGTATTATTGTTCAGCAATATATGGGACTTCTCATTGTTTCACCTCCTTGCGCACTTTGGGTTTGTTTTTTGTGGTTTTTTTTTTTTTTGGTTTTTGGGCTTTTGTAGTTGTTGTTGTTGTTGTTGTTGTTTTTCTTCTAATTTTTCCTTTTGTAGAGGTATTTTATTGTTACAGTGTTTTTTTCCTAGTTGAACATCTTTTCATTTCTTCTCCCTCTTCCCAGGGAGTCCAGTGATGTGACCATTATGCTATCCACTGGTTCCTTTCATTTCTTTGTTGATCATTTAGATATTCCCTTTCACAAAGTGTTCAGGTCTTTATTCTTTTTTTTTTTATTGATTATATTCCGGATAGAAGTCCTTTGTGTCTTATAAATACCAAATGTTATATGTATGATTTTATTTCAAAACTTTTGCTCATTTATGCCAAGTGTATTCATAATTACAATGGCATCATATTAGGTATTTGTCTCATAGGTGTCCAGCAACCTGCTGGTACAGGGTATTGACAGGTGCTTTACAAATGCCATTGCTAATCCTCACTTCTACACTGTAGAGTTGTTGGTATCGCTCTCTTTAAAGAAGGCTCAGATAGGGTAAGTAATCTGCCTAAGGCCACACTGCAGCGTAGAACTAATATTGGAAACCAGGTTCCTGATTCCAAAGCTAAGTTCCTTCTGCTTGATTGCACAGTTTTCCCAAGTGCAAAGCTTTTTTTTTCCAGTTTGTACTAGCAATGTCATGTGGAATTTTTAAAAATTTTCTTCAGAAAACTTTAAGGTTTTTGCCTTAAGGTGCATGTGCTTGCCTAACAGACAGGAATGAGACGGGGAGAGAAAGCCAGAAATCACCCCCCAAGGGGGATGGCCACACCACAATCCTTTCTCCTCCGTTTTCCTCTCAGGATCTTGGGCACACAGTGCACACGCACCCAGAGTGAGTTTAAGCCGCCAGATCCAAGATTCGAACCACAGTTGATTATATTAGAGTTTAACAGTGTAGCCATGACGCCAACTGCTGGTCCCAGGAATCCAACTCTAACCAAAAAAACGCCTGCTAGCCCCAGAAAACATTTTATTTTAAGGAATTATTTATTATTTTTATGTATTAGCATTTTTTTATGTGACTAAAGAGAGATGGAGAGAGGGGGCAAGTGAGAAAGCAAGCCACCAGATCCAGGACTCAAACTACGGTCAACCATATGGAAGTCCAGCTTCCCAACCAGCATGCCACCTATCAGCCTTGCCAGAAAACATTTTTAACTTTATATTTTATTCACTACTAAGAAATCACTTTCTATTTTTAATAGTTTTGTTTTAACAGTATCACTTTTAGCAATTTCTCACACTCTAAAATTCTTTTGAGCATATTTTTTGAGAGAAAATTCACATGAAATTAACCTTTTAGTATATTCACAGTCTGGTGCAGGCTTCACCTCTACCTTGTTCCAAAATGTTAACTCCATTTTGATCCAAAATCTTTCTGAATAAAAACAGAACTTAAGCTTCTAAGATAAGGAATCATTAGGACAGAAATCATAGAGGAAAAGGAAAGTCTGACTTAATTTCTATCACATTATTGGACCTTTAGCTGTTTTAAGTAACCTCACAATAAATATTTCTACACATCTGTATCTGTTACTGTGCCATCTCTCAGTCCACTCTTAGCCAGTTTCCAGCACAGGATCCTAGGTATGTTGTAGGTATCAGTAAATAGTACAATTTAAGTAAATTCTGAAAGGATTATAGTGCTCAGTTAGGACTTAAGATTTGAATCCTCATGTAAATTAGTATAGCCACTGTGGAGAATAATATGGAGATTCCTCACAAATCTACAAATAAAACTACCATACAACTCAGTAATCCCACTCCTGGGTACTTACCCAAAGGAAAGGAAAATCCTCAGTCAGAAAAATATTTGCACATCCATGTTTATTGCAGCAGTATTTAACAATTGCTAAGAAATGAAATCTTAGCCCAAATGTCCAAGAACAGGAGACTGGATTGAAAAAAAATGTAGCATGTATATACTATGGAATACTGTTTAAGAGGTGGGAGAGAAGGGGGGTGTGGAGACATTTAACACACATGGATGAAAAGTTATCAGTTAATGATAATGTATATGGTAATATCTTTGACTTGATAAGCACTTGCATTCATGATGGGGAAAATATTTTTGGCACTGTAAAGATATACAGTGATTAAATGTAAACTTAAAAAGAAAAAATTAAAAATTGAGAAATTAATTTTTTTCTCAAGATTTTTCTTAAAGGGCATGTGCACTCGTTGGCGAGAAAGAGAGGAAGTGAGAAATCCCCCCAGGGGGGACCAACAGTTAGCATAATGGCTATGTCGCTAGACTCCCATGTAGTTGACCGCGGTTCACGTCCCGGACCCAGTGACTTAAAACTCACGCCGGGTGCGTGTGCGTACGTGCCCAAGATCCTGAGAGGAGAATGGAGGAAAAGGGATTGTGGCATGGCCATCCCCCCTGGGGTGGTGATTTCTCACTTTCTGTCTCTCTGTCTGTCGAGTGGATGTGCCCTATAGCAAAAACCTCTCCCAAAAAAAAGAAGGAAAGAAATCCCCCCTGGGGTGATGGCCATACTGCAGTCTCTTCTGCTTCATTGTCCTCCTGGGATTTGGGGCACATAGCGCACATGCTCCTAGTGTGAGTTTAAAGCTGCTGTATCCAGGATTTGAACTGCAGTCAACCATGTGGGAGTTCAGCACCTTTACCAATACACCGCCTCCTGGCATCAAAGAGAATAAATTTTAGAAAAAGATTGGAATACTCACCCCTTGACTGAGTTTTTTTGTGTAAACTACTTTTTTTATTAATTATTTTATTTTCTTTATTCATTCATTTATTTTGACCAGAGAGAAACACAGAGAGAGGGAGAAAGTGAGAAAGCAAGCTACCAGGTCCAGGACTCGAACCACAGTCAGCCATGTGGGAGTGTCCACCGCCTTAACACCAAGCCACCTGCTGGTCCCATGTGTAAACTACATTTCTTTGGGTCTCCGATTACCCATCTGTCAGATGGAGGAAATAGTTAACTTCATGTGTTTTATGAGTTTGCTCTGAATCATTCTATTTTTTTAAGAATTATTTTATTTAGCTTTATTTATTTATTTATTTTACTTTTGACCAGAGAGGGACAGAACGAGAGTGGGAAAGTGAGAAAGCAAGTCGCCAGGTCCGAGACTTGGACCACTGTCAACCAGCACCCAAACCACTACGCCACCTGCTGGCCCAGAATGGTTATATTAAATACCATAAATAAAAATGTTTTAAGGTATACCAGATGACATCCACATGACATTGTAAATTGTATAGTGAAAAATGAAGAACATTTAGAAACTCTAAAATCTAAATTTGCTACTTACTTAACTGGTTCCTTTGAGCTTCCTTTTTTTTTTTTCTCACCATCTATAATGTGGACCTGGTTCTCATTCACTATGTAACTTCAAGGAAAAATTGTGTGCATGCACCTTGGTTGCTGTGCAGACGACATGACATAATAATGCTTGTGAATAATCATCATGGTTAATGATGTTTCAGGACTGCAGTGTGCTAGCTTTTGTTCTGGACCACCTCCTCCCACATACCCAGAATGCAGAAGACAAAGACACACCTGCCCTGGCTCGCCTGTTCCTCGCTAGTCTGGCTGCTGCGGGGAGTGGTACAGATGCCCAGGTGGCCCTAGTGAACGAAGTAAAAGCAGCCCTGGGACGGGCACTGGCTATGGCCGAAAGCACAGAGAAACATGCCAGGTAAAACTCAGTCCTCACCTAGTCCTGATAACCAGTTACTCCAGTCCTGGTCCCTGGGGTTCCTTGCACTTGAACCAGAGGTCTGGTCATACTATCATCATACTTCTCTAGTCCTGTTACATAGTTCTGGTGCTTCAGAATACCCAGAGTCCTAGAGAGTGAGTTTGCACTGATTTCTATTTTACTTCCAGAAGGAAACACAAAAGGCATAGGACGTTTACAAGTTGGTGAAGATATGGCCTAAAAATAGGCTTTATTCCCTTAATAAAGGTGTCAAACTTCTCTCCCAGGCTTCAGGCAGTGATGTGTATCATCAGTACTATCATGGAGTCCTGCCCCTCCACCTCTAGCTTCTACAGCAGTGCCACAGCCAAGACCCAACACAATGGCATGAATAATATCATTCGACTCTTCCTGAAGAAAGGGCTGGTTAATGATCTTGCCAGAGTGCCTCACAGTTTAGACCTGTCCAGGTAAGATCATACCCGAACCCTTGGCTTTTACCCTCTATTCATTCTGCTTCTTTCTCTATTTGTCCACTATGTTTTATCCTCTTACTACATGAGTATTGAAGGAAGCAGCTAGTGTGGTGGAAAACTTCAATGTGGTTGGGAGACATGAGATTTTTTTGTATTATGAATTTTAACAAGGTACCTGCTTTCTTTAGGCCTGAATTATTTAATTTTGCTACACTGGTATTATGCGTTTTTTTTCCCCCTCAGACTTTCCTCTATTTTGATTTCAAGTAACTGTTTATCATAATGAAAATATATGTGTATTTAAAGAAGTAACAAGTGAGCAAAAATAAGATAGGTACCATGTTCTACCTACATCTTAATCTTTTTGGATATGATATATTTTTTTAAGGTTTTTGCTATAGGGCGCATGAACTTGCCAGGGCG